CTTTTGATCACTTTCCCGCACATGTACAAAATCTGATCGAGACTTTTTTGAGGCACCTTTATCCTTTTTTTGTCGCGCATTGGGGTTTATTAGTACACTTTGGGACGGCTCTAGAGATTCAACCACCATTAGGCTAAGTAACCAGGTGAGGGTTACCAAACTTAGAAGAACCAGTTGTCTTTACCGTCATTATTCATCATTTTTTTTGGTTCCATAAGTCATTCTCTCAATCAAATTTATACATGCAATTATTTTTAATCATGTCGGACCATCACTATGAACTAACTGGGGAATACTTCTCAAATCCAATACGACACAAATCTTCATGTTGGACTCGTTTCCTTACTCCGGGGAATCTAGGGTGTTCAAGTTATACCTCAATTTCCATAATTTTCCAAAGTCCCTAGTTCTAACTCCCCTTCTCTCAAACTCTATATACTTTCCTGACTACCTCACACATCACAGTACTCACAAGAAAATATTTTACGGTCCTCATTCGGGGAGAATTCAAAGAGGTTTTTTTAACAATAGTACACAAATACAAATAAAAAGTACTTAAAATGAAACCTCAAAATAGTAAATCCTCCCACAAACTTGAACTAAACATTGGCCTTAATGTTGTAGAATAAGAGAGAGAGAGAGAGATACGTAAGTCATAGAGATCTTTACTAAGGAGTTGGACGGTAATGCAACACCAATTGCTACCTTCTGGCTTGTACATGTAAAGTCTCTTTTATTACCTGTAAACGAAACAAAATAACAACAAAAAGAAACACATCAACCATTAAAAATGTGGGTTGCCTCCCATGCAGCGCTTCGTTTAACACCGCATGGCTCGACGGTTCACTCCCCATTGTTATGGGGGTATTTCAGCTTCCACACTTTGTTGCTTGACCTTTTCACAACAAAGGACCGGTCAGGATCAGAGATAAGAGCAACTTTGTGTATCAAATCACATCCAACTTTTCTATTCTTGACTCCTCGAATGAATTTTCGAGTCTCGTTATGTTCCCTAGGCGACTGAGATATTGACACCTGGTAAATTACACCAGAGACTTTTTCAGGAAGTGGTTTTGAACTTTTGCCTTTTTCCACTATTTTGATCATTCCAACTAAAGGTTGATTAATTTTCTCTTTACCTCGCTTCTTGATGTCAAACACTTTTAAAGTTATTTCCTCATCAAAAGACTTTAAGGTTAGAGTACCTGTTTCAGTATCAACATTGCACCGACTAGTAACCAAGAATGGTCGGCCAAGTATGATGGGAGTCTCTTCATCTTCTGGGATATCCATAATCTCAAAATCCACTGGGAAGGTAAAGTTATCAATCGTCACCAGTACATCCTCTACTAGCCCATATGACCTCTTAGTTGTGTGGTCGATAAACTTCAAGTTTGTTCTCATACCGCTCACTTTTCCAATATCCAGCCTTTTGAAAATAGATAAAGGCATGAGACTCACACTAGCACCTGAATCAATAAGGACCTTTTTGAAAGTTCTATATTTTATAGTACAAGGGATTGCTACAGGTCCAGGGTCTTTCTACTTGATAGGGATTCTCCCTCCTTGTGATATTTCACTACACTACTCAGTTGAAATTTTCTGCTCCACACCCATTGTTCTCTTTTTCCCCATTAGCCTTTTCATTAATTTCTTATACAGAGGCATTTGCTCGAGTGCTTCAAAGAACGACATATTAACCTCTAACGTTTTGAACATTGTACTGAAAATTTCGAAGTCTTTCTCCTTCTAATCCTTCTTTGTAACTCTCTGAGGGTAATGTAGCTTGATTTTTGGTTTAACCTCCTCTTTCTTTTTCTCTTGAGTTGACTTCATAGGTGGTAAGGCTCTTTCCGATTTTTTCCTATTTTCTCTTACTTCAAGCTCAACCTCTATTCAATGTTAATCATTTGTTTCTCTTTCTTCCTCTTCTTCCGCGACTCCCTGACTTCTTGTTGTGACAACATTAACATTCTCATGATTTTTTGAATTCGGTACTATCGCGCTCAAGAAGGTTTCTTGAGTTTGCATGGAGATTTATTGTGTTATTTGTCCCATCTGAACCTCAATATTTTTTATAGCAGCTGCGGTGTTCCTCTGATTATTCTGTGTCTCTTCTTGGAATTGAATATTGTGAGTTGCCATCTTTTCAATAGTTATTTCCCATTATGCTTTCTGAGGAGCCTGTTGCTGCTGTTGATATTGAGGTTGATTTTGATCTTTCCAGGAGAAGTTAGGATGATTCTTCCACCCTAGATTATAAGTCTAAGAATAGGGATTATTCTACTTCAAATACTTTATCTCTTCAATTTGTTTAGCAGTCATAATGCAGTGTGCAGTAAAATAGGGTCCACTACAAATCTCATGACTCACAGCTTGGACAGGTTGAACTTGAGCAACAATTTGAGTACTTACATTCATCGCTTTAAGCCTTCTTTCTACTTCAGTTGTAATTTGATCTTCCATTTTCACAACTTGATTAGCCAACTTCAAGTCAATTGTTCCTTCAGGTTTACTCACACTACAGTCATATAATTCCAAATGCTCATTTGCAGCAATGGCTTCAATGATCTTCTTTATACTAGTGGTTGTTGTAAAGCTTGATGAGCCACCAACTTCCGTATCAATTAGTTGCTTAGCCTTCATCTTGAGACCATTCACAAACATCTGCATTTGTTCAGTTTGATCCATGTTATGAGTAGGACATGCAACAAATAACCGTTTGAACCTTTTATACGCACCGCCCAGTGATTCTCCCTCATTCTGTTTAAAATTCATGATATCATATCTTTTACAAATATATACAGAGGCAAGAAAATACTCATTAGGAAATGCATTCTCCATCTCTTCCCAAGTAACAATACTTACTACAGGTAACGAGTAAAACCACTCTTTAGCATCTTCAGAGAGAGTGAACGAAAACATTCTTAATTTTTTTTGCTTCATCAGTGTGCCCATCAATCTTGAGAGTAGTGGTCAAAGTTAAAAATATTTTCAGATGTTTGTTGCCATCTTCATTAACCTTTCTGGTGAAAGGTCTGCTCTCAAGTCGATGGTGGTGCTTGGATGCAACTGAAAATTTGCCATATTCACCGGTTGGTTCACTATTGTTAACTGACCAGCCGGTGCATTAGCTCCACCATAATCACCAAGGAGTCTCTCTGCTGGTGGAACTCCAGCCATAGTCAAAATATCTCTATCTGAGTCTGAACCTGAATCGGAATGCTCTGAATGAACAGAGACTCTTTCTTCTTCTGGTGCTGACGCTGAAGGCTATGCTTTTGAAGCTGTCAGTCTTGCCTGTCTATGCCTTGCGTGTAGAGTTCTTTCGATCTCTGTGTCAAAAGAAAAATTAGCTGAGGATTCTCCTCGCATAAAAATGTTAGACACGGATTAGTAGTAACGAAACAAAAAAATTAATTATAAAAAAACTGAAAAATAAAATTTTGGTCACAGAGCAACAAAATTTCAATTGAATTAAAATTAAACTTATATTTTGGCAGTCCCCGACAACGGTGCCAAAAAATTGATCAGAAAAATAGCAAGTGTACTATTTTGCCAATGTAGTAATAAAAGGGAATTTCCCCGAATATCGATCACGAGTACCGCGTAGGAATATAAGTTTCGATTTCAATTCAATTAAACAATAAGTACTTGGGGGTTGAGGATTGTTTTGTGAAATTATAAAACAATTGCATAAAAATAAAGAAAGTATATGAGTGGTTTAAAAAATATATGAGTAGATTATGCTAGAGATGGTGTGTGATATTACTCAGTAACAACTCTAAATTATATTGCAACAACTTATTGTAACTAACTAATTACCGATTCTTTAGAATGTTTACCCCTAAGTCCTTAGTGAGAAAACCTTTAATCATTCATCCTAATTCCTATCTCCATAGAGAATTACAGATGAAATTAAACAATCAATTATAAAATATATTACAGTTCCTATAGGGTATCCCTAGTCCTAGGTGATATCTACTATAGAATGATCCAAAGCAAAGCATTAACAACGATGGTCCATTCTAATCGTTAATCAAAAATTAAACCATGTTTGTCCGACAGAGCAAGCATTAAGAATAACTAGAGATCAAATTAGTTATGAAAAACAAAGGAATTATTATTGCAATACTAATATCAGAGTCATTGCATATTCAAATCAGGGACACCCCCTAGCATTAGGGGAGGGGGGGGTTAGCTACTCATAATATTCGAAGAAAATACAAAGTAAAAAACTAGACTTTACAAGATAATAGGATTCTTTTATCTTCAATATGCTTCAGCTCATGAAAACCTTCAGTTCCCCAATCCCCTTGATCTCCCCAATTTTGATCCTGTAATTCTTCCCCCGTCCAAAAAGTCCTTTTTTCCTTCTCAAAAAGCATCTAAAATACTCCCATGTCTAACACAGCAGTAGGGATAGGCCTAAAATATCCTTATGGGTCACACGAGTAAAAAATCCAAGAAAATTAGAAAATGAAGCACTTTAGCCAATACGGGTCCTGTCAGTTGACACGGGCGGCCGTGTTAGCCCCCTGACTGCCTGATAAAAACACTGCATGCTCTAGACTTGCTGACATAGACCGTCAGGTGACACGGGCACCCGTGTTAGTCCACTGCCTCTCTACAAAATTTCATTCTCTTGGTATCCTCCTGACACAGGCCGTGTCAAGTGACACGGGTGGCCGTGTCAGGTCATTGTTTCCCTTCTAAAAACTCTTCCGAATTCCTGCGCTTTTTCCTGTTTTTTTGCTCCGATTCTTTCTGATTGGTTACCTGAACCTAAAAACAATGGAAATACAAAACCAACACATAAAATGCGATAAAAGGAAATAAAATACAACTAACATATGAGAAGATTAACTAGAATTAATAGTAAAATAACATATAGAAACCCATTGATCATCTACCATGCCTATAACGCCCGTAAAAAAAACAGTAAGTAGTTAATAGTAGAACACAACATGTCAAAGTTACTTTAAGATAAAAAGGAAACATCAATGACAACCTATGAGTACATCTTTCTGAAACCGTTCCGTCATGATATCAACAAAATTTGTAAAGTTAAGTTCTTTGGCCAGTATAACATGTTTATCTGCATCATTAATGGATGTCCCTTCTGTAAATCTAAACATATACTTGTATCTTGAAGGTTTAAAGACTAAATCATTTGACTGAACGTTAAAGTTCGAAACGGTGTAAGTGTGGTCCACATTTAACTTGTCTTTGAATGTATCCATATACACCGCATATACAATTACGTGAATATCATCTCCCTGATAAATAATGAAAACAATTACGCCATTCAAAAACCATTTTAATACATATCATGTAAAAGTAGAGCGTGAAGAATGTACAAAAGAAAAATAAAAGACATCTAGAAACTTACATATTTGTCTACGAAGATCATTTCAATATGTTCTTTGTTGTTGGTAAGAACTAACCATTTATGGTATACCTGAACTGCAACCTTCCAAAGTTCTTTTGTATTGTTTAGATTGTTTATCTTTTGCAATGGTCTCGCCATTTTTGAAACAGCTGAGACATGTAATGGAAGAAGAAGATGGAAGTTGAATAAAAAAAGGTTGAAGATGAAAGGTAGAAAGTTATAAAGTTAGAATGACAATGTAAAAGAAGAAAGCTAGAAAGAGAAGATTAAAAAATAAAGTTAAAAGTTAGAAAGAGAATGTGAAAGATGAAATGTTGTGATTTGAAAGCTGATGTAGGTTTTGAAAAAGGTAGGAAAAAGAATAAATGAAGCAAAGGTGAAGACATGACAAATCTACCATACAATGTAAGCCAATAAAGCTATCCACGTGTTGTTGTGTGAGGGCAGAAGGGCAGAATTGGAATTTGAACAACACATATTTTTCTTATATGGTAGATTTTCTTAAACAAACTTTATTTCTATTTTTATTTCCCTTCTCATAAAGAAGCAAAATATATTCGATTAGCCTTAGATTTACATAACAATAATAGATAGAGGTAGATTGATTATTGGTCTATGTAGGTTTGAAATTTTTTGTATTACTTTAATAAAGTTCATGCACTTGCGGATAAGCTAACCACACGAAGCACATCAGGATGGTTCATGCACTAAATTTTTCTTATATTACGATGTTTTGGTAAATTAGTCCTACACTAATAATTTGATAATAATAATAATAATAATAATAATAATAATAATAATAATAATAATAATAATAATAATAATAATAATAATAATAATAATAATAATAATAATTGCTGTGAATTACGACAAAATTCAATATCAATTTGTGAGGCAAAGAACAATAGCAACCAAAATAAATGGTATACAACAATAATAATCCATACACAAATAATATAACAGAATAAGACAAAAAAACCGAAGGTTTGTTTACCCAATTTAATTAAACGATCTACTCTGAGGGAGAGAGCAGCTCTCCAATTCACTATACTCAAAAAGTTGTTACAAGAGATTATAGATAAGTTACAAGAAAATAGTATTTGCCTTCAGGTTCCCAAGAACAACCCTGAAGGCGCCCAAGAAAAACCCTATTTTCTACTCAAGTGTTTCCCTACCTCTCCAACTCTCAATATATGAGTCACTCAAACCCAAGGTGTAATCCAAGGTTTTCTTTGTACATAGCTGAAACCCTATGCTATACCTTTAAACTCTTGGTCTCCCTTGTTGGTGAAAACTCTAAGATTGTCACACACCAAACATATAAGAGATACATATTTATAATAGCAAATACCTAACAAACAAAGTCCAAAATCACATGGATCCATGGACCGAATCGAAAAAGCGTAAAAACTCGAAAACACTATTCATCGTACAAACACACTATCCATCGTACGGGTGACAATATTCACTACCCAAATTTGTTTTCTCGACTTTTCGTCCGACTTTTTTAAACTTTTGATTTTTGCGGTAAATGCAATCTCCAAAATATGTTTTTTTTCTCTTCATCAACAAAGGTTTTAAGGCATATTTACAACAATCTCCACCTTGACTTTAAATCGTGTTGATACCAATCAACAACATTGCTACTCTCTACCAAGTTGAAACTTTAATCAATAACTTTGATCAAATTCAAGCAACCCTTGAATCTTGATTTCTCAACTTGCATCCACTTGTTCCCAATTACCCTTTTCTGTCTAGATAATTTAACAAGTCTACAAGTATGATTTTTCAACCACCCTTGACTCCACCTATTTTCAAATGCCTCCCTGAAGGTTTTTCTTCTTTTATTTTGCAGTCCTTATGCCACATTAAAAACATAATATCCAAGGCTAACATAATCGTCCCTTTAAGATGCTACAATAACCCTCCTTACCTTATCATGAGTCAAATGATAATCAGAGATCTCTATAACCGTTCCCTGTTTACTCCTAGCATCTATAGTAGAAAACTCCACCTGAAACTGAGTTTTCTCCGTTATAGTTTCACCCAGGTTTCTCCCTTAGTTTTCACTATTCTTCTTCTGAAGAAATTCTCTACCAACCAAGTAAGTTGTTTAAACCTTAGCTCTTCCCCAAAAACTCAATAACAACTCAGCGGTAACATGCACTTTTATCCCTTGATTTTTGCAAAATCCATTGTTCTCTTTTGAAACTTTCTCAAGGCATTCATAATGCCTTAAACACAAATCCCATAGCTCTTCCTTGTCATGAAAGCCTCCACTAGTTAACGATGAATGAATAATAGCATTTGAACCTTCTAAAATATATAGACTACATATTTTAAACCCTTTAGCAATAATCAATTCATCACGCGAAATCTTCAACGCTCCACGTTCAACTCTAGTACAATAGCCTAAATCATCAAACATACTTATAGATAACAAATTTCGCTTGAGTTCTGGAACATACCGAATAAGAAGCTTACGATCTTTAAACATTTTAAATCTGACTGCACCAATACCATGAACCTTGCATGTGTTATTATTTCGAAGGCGAACTACTCCACCTTGCACCATCTTCAAAGTTTCAAAGTATTATATTCTTGGACACATGTGATAAGAGCAACCCAAGTCAATGACCCAACTATCTTCAGTTTCCAAACTGGATACTACTAGTGCTTCGACATCCTCAAAACTTTCCTCATCCAATGCAACTACAGCTTGAACAGAATCTTCGTTGACCTTTCTTTCAGGACAATTCCTTTTAAATTGATCGGCTTTCTGACAATTAAAACATTTTACTTTTGACTTGTCAGACCTCTTTGATTTGTACATCCCTTTACGCTCACCTCCTCCTCTTGCAACATTTAAGCCTTCACCATTATCTTCAATCTTCAAATCTTTCGACTTTGAAAATTCTTTGGATTTCACTGCCGTCTGGACTTAATCCAAAGTAATAGTACCTTCCTTACCATAAAGAAGGGCATCCTTAAAGTTCTCAAAGGATTTGGGTAATGAACTCAACAGGAGCAAAGCATTGTCCACATCATCAATCTTCACTTCAATATTCTCAAGATCATCGATAATCTTGTGAAATTCTATGAGTTTCTCAACTATGGATTTGTTCTCCACCATTCGGAATGAATAGAGTTGTTGTGTCAGATACAACTCGTGAGCCAAATATTTTGTCATATACAACGATTCAAGTTTTGCCCACATAGCAACCGCAACTTGCTCCCTGGCAACTTCTCTTAGAACTTTATCTCTGAGGCACAAGATAATGGCACTCCTGACCTTATCCACCATCTCGGTCTTTTGTACCTGTGTAAGCCCTGCAGGCATCAATTCTTCACTCTTCAAAGCTTCAATACATTTCTCTTGAATTAAAATTGCTTGCATCTTAATTTTCCACAACCCGAAGTCGTTGTTACCGGAAAATTTCTCGATCTCCCATCTAATAACCATGGTACTCACTTGTCTGCTCCATGCTCACCGCACCACTTGTTGTGAATCTTGTGGTGAATTACGACAAAATTCATTATCAATTTGTGAGGCAAAGAACAATATCAACCAAAATAAATGGTCTACAACAATAATAATCCGTACACATATACTATAACAGAATAAGGCAAGAAAAAACCGAAAGTTTATTTACCCAGTTCGATCAAACAATCTACTCTAGGGAGAGAGTAGCTCTCCAATTCACTATACTCAGAAAGTTGTTAAAGAGATTACAGATGAGTTACAAGAAAATAGCCTTCGCCTTCAGGTTCACAAGAAAAATCCTGAAGGCGCCCAAGAACAACCATATTTTCTACCCAAGTGTTTCCCTACCTCTCCAACTCTCAATATATGAATCACTCAAACCCAAGGTGTAATCCAAACACAATGAAAACATAATTGTAAAGGATATGAAAATTGAACGGTATCATTAACCTTTGCATTTAATTGGTTGAACACGTAATGATATTTCTGGCAATCTTAAAAAGAGATTCAACATCAAATTTAATTTCACTATACAGATGGGTTGAGCAAATCATCTCCAAAATATCCATATCAAACACGATTTAGCAAAACAAATTTGTTAACAATATATACGCATTTAGTGAAATAATTCTTATAATGTCAGCATATATAAGTAACAATCAACTATATTATAAAATCAAATAATGATACATTCAATTTATCATACATGGCAAAATCAAGTTGTTTTGAATCAATAACTAATTTTCTTATTAATTTCTGAATAAATTACCAGAACTATTTTAAATGGGAAAATGATGAAAAACACATAAAGGACACGTTAACCAAATTCAATAAACATAATAGAAAAAAAAACACATAACATAGCAGAAACTCACGGTCGATATGTCGACCCCATTCATGCTTGATCTATCGCATTATGTCTGGAATTTTATTCTCGCGGAAATTAAAAGGAAATATGAAAGGGAAATTTGTCACATTTCGTATTTGAGAAATTGAAATAGAGATAATGGAAGTGAGAGTGAGAAACTGGTAAGAGATGATGTTCAGAACCAGGCTAGCAACAACCACACTTAGAACAACATTCAAGTCGGACAACCAGGTTCGCATCATTCAAAACAACTACCAGCCAGTCAAAACAACAATGCTCGGAACCAACAACCATCTTAGTCTCCATCATTGCAGTTGGCAGTCATACAACAACACAAGCACAACGTTTTTACATTAGGTTTTCTTTGTTGTTTCAATTGTCATTGTTAGAGTGAAGCAGAAAGAAGAAAGCATATATTTGGATAAAAGTGAATTTGGGGGATTAATGAGAGGGTAAGAAGCCAAAGTGGATTTGAATTTGTTAGGATACTTGGTAGATTGAGATTGAATAAGAAATTGTAATATTTAGGACATATGTTTAGTAGGTGTTAGAATTAAACCTAAAACTTAGTAATTGTTGGAGCGGTAAAGCAGCAAGCAAAAATATTAAGTATCCAGTTTTGTCGTCTCCATAGGGATCGGGAGTTGCATTTCGTTTTACCCATCGTGTACTAAAAAATATATGGATAAAATACACGCAACTTAAATCGCTCGTCAATATCATCACGTATCGCTCACAACAGAGGTTATGTCTAATGCAAAGTCGATAGATCAACCGTATGGTCTC